GGGACCCCCCAAAACCTGCAGGGGTTGGCCCCCTGCATCACACCTGTAATTCCAGCACTTTGGGAGGCAGAGGCGAGAGGATTACCTGAGCTCAGGGGTCTGAGACCAGCCTGGGAAACTTGGCAAGACCTTGTCTCTATAATAAAATTAAAAATTAGCCAGGCATGGTGGTGTATGCCTATAGTTCCAGTTACTTGGAAGGCTGAGGCGGGAGGATCACTTGAGTCCGGCAGGTTGAGTCTGCAGTGGCTGTGAGCTGAGAGCCTGTGAGCTCAGGCAATCCTCTCACCTCAGGCTCCCAAAGTGCTGGGACTATAGGCATGAGCCACTGCACCCGACCTTGTATCTGTTCTTATGAACTTGGCTGGGCACGGTGGTTCACATCTATAATCCCAGCATTTTGGGAGGCCGAAGTGAGAGGACTGCCTGAGACCATGGGTTCAAGACCAGCCCGGGCAACATTGCGAGGCCTTCTCTCTACAATAAATCAAGAAAAATTAGCTGGGCATGGTGGCACGTGCCTGTTGTTCCAGCTACTTGGAAGGCTGAGGCGGGAGGATCACTTGAGTCCGGCAGGTTGAGTCTGCAGTGGCTGTGAGTGTGCCACTGCACTCCAGCCTGGGGAACAGAGTGAGACTCCTCAAAAAGAAAAAGTATTGGGTGTAGTGGCTCATGCCTGTAATCCCATCACTTTGGGAGGCCAAGGTAGGAGGATGGCTTAAAGCCAAAAGTTCAAGACTTGCCTGGGCAACATAGCAAGACTCCATTTCTACAAAAAAAAAAAAAAAAATCCAAAATTTAGCTGGGCGAGGTGGCATGCCTGTAGTCCTAACTACTCAGGAGGCTGAAATGGGAGGATTGTTTGAGCTCAGGAGGTTGAGTACAGTAAGCTATAATCGTGCCATTGTACTCCAGCCTGGGTGACAAAGAGCCTGTCTCAAAAAATTTTTTAAATTTAAAAAAAAAGGGCACTCACAGGTTTTAGGCACAGCATACTTATTTTACCAAAAACCCCACGGAGTCACATAAAATCGACATTATCAGTGATTTGAAGTGGGAGAAACTGAGTCAGAAAGAACACACATCTTTGCCCAAAGTCTCCTACTGTTAAAGCAATAGTAGAACCCAATTTTCCCAACCTCCATTCTAAAAATCTAAGGTATTTTAAAACAATCAACTTAAAATAATATTTATATTAATGATTTTTTGCATAGAAACCACCATGATAAAGGTTTACTGAAATCTTATTTAAATTACACCCATTTAGCAAGATGTATTCAAATGTTCATTAAACTTAATTTGGAAGAAAACAAAAAAACATTCCTCGAAACTGAACATAGCCTACTGTATGTGTAAATTCCCAAATATCAATGGCTCAAATGTTTTCTTTCCCCAAGCCTTTGTACCACACCAACCATATCACCCTCTCACCTCCGTAGACTCCTTAAAAACATAATTTATTTCTTTCCTTGAAAAGTCAGTAAATGTTAAAGAAAGTGTGGGTAGGCAAATGAATGAAACATCAAAGGAAGTTAAGTTTGAAAGTAATATATTCAAATGAATTATGCTGCTAACCAACACTTAAAAGTAGTGTGAGGCTGGGTGCGGTGGCTGACACCTGTAATCCCAGCACTCTGGGAGGCCAAGGTGGAAGGATTGCTGGAGCCCAGGAGTTCAAGACCAGCCTAGGCAATATAGTGAGACCTCATCTCTACAAAAAATCAAAAAAATTAGCCAGGTGTGGTGGCACATGCCTGAAGTCCCAGCTACTCGGGAGGCTGAAGTGGAAGGATGGCTTGAGCTCAGGAAGTCAAGGCTGCAGTGAGCTGTGATCGTGCCACTGCACTTCTGCCTGGGCAACAGACTCAAAACAGACAAACAAAAGTAATGTGAAGTTACACTTGACCTACTAAAGACTCAGTATAGATGCTAAACTCATTCTAACAAGAAGTTTGAAAGATACTGATACTGGTAAAATCTATAAAACATTTTTTTAAATCTTCATGGTTTAACTTCCATGCTTAAACGCACACTAATATGATTAATTCACTTAACCCAAAAGCTATAAAATGACAAACTCCATCAGATTAAGCCCAAGTTTGACCACTAACCAATTCCCTCTCCATTATCTAATCAAATTATGGTTTAGTCACTAATCAAATTATGGCTTATTCTGTCTTTTCTCTACTCTGAAAAATGCTTCCAGCCTGCTTAAGATATAAAACGAAGTGTAAGGATGATCACCTATTTTGGATTTTATATGAACTTATACTTCTATAAAAGTGGAGATATGGCTGGGCGTGGTAGCTCAAGCCTGTAATCCCAGTACTTTGCGAGGCCGAGGCGAGAGGACTGCCTGAGCCCACAGGTTCGAGAATAGCCTGGACAACTTGGCGAGATCTCATCTCTACAATAAAACCAAAAATTTACCAGGCGTGGTAGCACACACCTGTAATTCCAGCTACTTAGAAGGCTGAGGTGGAAGGATCGCCTGAGCCTAGCAGGTCGAGGCTGCGGTGGTCCGGAGCATGCCACTGCACTCCATCCTGGGCAACAGACGGAGGAGATATTTCACTTTTGTCCCCCCAGTATGGATATTGGTATTAATTGCACTGTGTTAACCCTCCAACATCTAAAATAATAATGACAGCATGTGACAATGAAAAAGGGACAAGCCTTAGACTTGTCCCACACCTAAGGCTAAATTTTTTTTTTTTTTGAGTCAGAGTCTCATTCTGTCACCCAGGCTGGAGTGCAGTGGCATGCTCACAGCCACCCCAGCGTTGACCTGCAGGGCTCCGGTGATCCTTCCACCTCAGCCCTCCAAGTAGCCGAAACTATGGGGCACACGCTACCACGTCCAGTTTTTTTTATTTATTGTAGAGATGAGGTCTTGCCAAGTCACCCAGAGCTAGATCTTTTTATCTGCAACCAAAATTCCTAATAATTGAGTGAGAAATATATCAATGGTATGTTGGCACACAATCATCAAAGTTATATACTTACTGACTTGCAAATAAATTTATCATAGAGTGCACAAAAAGGGATGCATACTTTTAAAAAATATATAGATGTACAAAGCAAAAAAGTGGGGAATGGTTATGGTTTAGTAACCCATTGTTTTAACAAATATGTATTAGGTACCTATTATGCCAGACACAATTGGAGATGCCCAGGTTACATCAGTGAACAAAGTGAAGTCCTTCCTCCACGGAGTTTTAGATTCTAAGAAGCATCAAGAAAACAAGGAAAGTAGGGTCTATCTAAACTACGAAAAAAAGTAAACTGACTAAGAGAGCTGAGGCATGCTGTTTTAGGAAGGTGGTAAGGGATGATGACTTCCTTTAAGTAACACTCGAATCAACGCCCGGATGCTGTTTGGGAGGAAAACATGAAGTTATCTGGGGGTAAGAGTTACAGGTAAAGGAACATCAAGTTTGAAGTTGCTGAGGCAAAATGCGTTTGTTACGACCTAGGAATGACAAGCCAACATGCCTGAAACGGAATCAGGAAGGAGAAGGGTGATAAGAAAGGAGTTCAGGAGGCATGTGAGGCAAATTAAGACTTTCAAGGTCACGGGGAGAACTTTGGATTCTATTTTAAGTAGAAATAGGAAATCAATAGAGAGTGTGGGCACAGAAGGTCAGATGCACATTTACATACTAAAATGTCAGTAGTAGTTATCCATGGTAGAAAGAGTTTGGATTTTTTTTGCCCAATTTGCTTCTCTATATTCTTTTTTCTCATGTATTCTTATTCTCATCTCAAATAATGAGCCCTACCACTTATCTAACCAAAATTCCAAAGAATCATCCAGGGCTTTCAATTATGAAAAAAAATGGTTTCAATTAACTTTTGAGGGTCTGTTAAATTAATTATGCCCCCTCTTTCAGACAGACACTTCTATAACACAAATTAAAACAATGTAACTATATTAATACACTGTATTAATATAACATTAACTATAACTATTAATTCAGCTCAAAGTGCTTGGTTAAAATCAGAACACTGTTTACATTTAAACCAAATCTGCAAGTCAGAAGTTCCTATGTAAGCTGCTAACACTTTTGGCCTCTAATATATAATTTAAATGAGATGAGGCAGATTCTATAAATTCAATGAGCTGAAGCAGATTCTATAAACTCAAAAGAAAGAATATGGTCTGTCACTAAAAAGGCAGGCTTGAGTTTCCATGTCTACTTAACTTGCAGAGTCAAGATCATAAGTGTTTCTTGAAAACTAACGAGACAGCTGGGCACAGTGACTCAAGCCTGTGATCCCAGCACTTTGGAAGCCTGAGGCAATAGGACTGCCTGAGCCCAGGGGTTCATGACCAGTATGGGCAATTTGGTGAGATATCATCTCTACAATAAATCAAAAAATTAGCTGGGCATGGTAGTGCACACCTGGAGTTCCGGCTACTTGGAAGGCTGAGGCAGAGGGATCACCTGAGCCAGCAGGTGGATGCTGGTGTGGCCGTGAGCATGCCTCCGCACTCCAGCCTGGGCGACAGGGTAAGATCCTAACTCAAAAAATAATATAAAACTAATGAGACCTAAGTTATCATTGACTACATGAAATAATGTTTTAATTAATTTTTAATCAGTATATTTGCTTGAAATAGACCCAAAGACACTCTGATAGAAATTTGTAAGTTTTAATACCTTTAGTGATGCCTCTGTGCTAATGTCCTAAAACTAAGGTTAACTAAAGATATGAATACTAAGACTTAACTTTTTAAAAAATCAACAGTAAACTTCAACTTGAGGTACAAACCTATGCATCACCTCTAATCACAATCCCCATCTCTCTCTGCACTCAGACTCTCCTATCCTAGGCACCAAATGAGAGTCACTATTGGGTAACTTACTATTTTTCTCTTTGAAAAAGTTATCTGAAGTTCATGAAACAAAACCCAGGTCATCTTAAGATTCCTTTTAATCACTTATCACATACTAAATGCACCACCACCATTAAATAAACCAGCGTATAACACTTTGTAAGTACAAATAATATATTTTATTTCATCCCTAAAAAAAAAAAAAACAAGGAACAAAAATATCCTTAACCTAGACCTAGCAAGAGAGACTGAACAATTATTCCAAACTTCACCTGGCAATGGCATATAATTAATTTCTTCACATAAAGGTAGAATACAGAGAAGAGAACAGAAATTTGGAAATCTTGCATGAAACAATATTTTCATATTTATTTTAATAAAATATTATAATGATTGCTATTACATGTGGCAGCATACTGTAATAACGAACAATACTATATCCAAAACTAAATTCAATATAGTCTATATCTAGAAGCTTGCTGCACTTAAGCAGTTATTATAGAGAATAAATACTATGAAATATAGGGCACCATATGGCAATTAGATTTGCTACAAGGGAAATTTAAATAGAGCTGTACTTTATTCTACACTGGAGTTACTCAAGATTAGGATTTCTTGTGCTATATACATTAGCTTTTTTTCTGAAAAGATAGATAATCTTCATAATTTATATTCTAAATGTTCTTAATTATTTTAAGTGGTCATTATGCAAAATGAGTATCTACTGTGTCTGTCATACAAATCCAAAATTTCGCAAAGCAGGATCCCCTTACATAATATAAAGCAATGTTAACATTGTCCAAGCAACTTAACCTTTATTATATACATCTGGCTAAAGTCCTCAGGAGTCCCAGTCTCCCAGTTCCTTCCTCCCCAATCAACATTATAAAACAAAAATAATCTAAATGTGGAAATAATATGCTTTCCTGATAGCACACACACTCTAAGGGATAAACTTTTAAATTAACATTCATGTATGTGAAAAATCACTCAGTTATTTTTATCTCATCATAAAATATCTCTTATTCTTCAGAATATATATATAAGAAAATTTTAAGTATGAGATTATCGTTTACTACTATTTTAATGTTGTAGAACATTGCTCCCCAATGAATAGGTTATGAACAGTGGCCACTACCCATTTCAGGATTATACTCTCACAAATGTAATTTTAAAAAATATACAATAATTAACCTTCAGTTATTTTGAAGGACAGTGCAAATGAACACATTCTTTGGGTCACGATTTCAACACACTGTTTTCAACATTGTATTTCCTTTCTCTGCTCATAATCTGAGTAACAAAATATAGTACTAGAAGCACATTTTCAAATAGCCTTAGTCTAACAGTTACATCTATTGAGAACAAATGAAAGAATGATTTAACAATATTCTCCACTGGTCTGAAAAACATGTTATATACTTAAATAAATAGTTTATAGAAATGAATCCATATCTTTCAGTGGTTTTGTTTCAGCTTGATCTCAAACACAAAAGATTTGTACAAAAATCGCCTACCTGCTTACCACATCAACCATATTACCAATTTCCCTTTGAGGAAACAGTACAGCATTGAAAAGACTTGCTGAAAGCAAACTATTAACTTTCAAAATTTTATATACAGAATTAGAGTTTCATGAATCCAGCATACTCCTTGAAAATGTGTAGAGCTTTTATTATAAAGTAGTACTCTTAGCCAGCAACTAAAAACCTTTCCTGCCACAGGGCACAGTCCATAGTGGATATAGCAGCTCAGGGTGATCCTCACTGCTATCTGATGCTGCCTGATGCATTTATTCTTTTATTTGTGGTGACTGGCACCAAATTCCCACTAGTACCATTGGTAGTGTTGGCTGCTGAGCCGTTCACAACAATATAGTCAACTTTGTTCTCCAGCTTCACCAAGCGTTGCAAGATGTCATCCAAAAGGACAGCAATTGTTCTTTTCAGATCCGCTAGAGGAAAAATCAGAATAAAACACATTCAACATCAACAAAGCACTTGATATTTGTGTTTTCATAGTTTGAGGGGGAAAGATGAACAATTGGGTCATCTGAGAGAAATTATAAGGCAATGCACTCATACTACAAATAGGAAAAGCCTAATTTTTCAATCAATAGTATCATATACAACTTCCAAAAGGTATTTCTGAATTGTAAATGTGTGAGAAATTCTCACTTTTCTATTGTAATACAGTGGATTTAAAGTCTGGTTCTAAATGTCAGTCCCTCTTGTAAGTAACCCATTTGCCTTGAATTTTTTAAGCAGCCTAGAAAAAAAAAACCATACTGTGGACTAAACAGGCAAAATAAAAAGCTAGGTAAGTAAGAAAGTCAATGAAATGCAGAAACCTGGAACCTCTAGAGCAGCACTCTCCAACCTTTTTGGTATCAGGGACTAATTTTGTGGAAGACAATTTTTCCATGGTGGCGGGGGGGAGAAATGGTTTAGAATTATTCACGTACATAACATTTATTGTGTACTTTATTTCTATTATTATTACATAGTAATATACAATGAAATAATTATGCAATTCACTGTTTTTTTTTAAAGGAATGGATGGAAGTGGTAAATAAAATAATGGGCGTTCCATGTGTGGACTAAAATAAATGTCAGATTCTAACTTAAAGTCTGCCGCCAGATGCAGCTGTACAAATGAAGGATATCAACTCACTTGCCACTCACTGATAGGGTTTTGATATGAGTTTGCAAGCAACTGATTTATTAGGATCTCTGTGCAAACTTCACTGCTAATGTTAATCTGTATTTGCATCTGCTCTCCAGCACTAGCATCACCATCTCAGGTCATCAGGCATTAGCTTCTCATAAGGTGCGTGCAACTTAGATCCCTCGCATGTGCAGTTCACAATACGGTTTGTGCTCCTATGAGAATCTAATGCTGATGCCGATCTGACAGAAGATGGAGCTCAGGTGGTAATGTGAGTGATGCGGAGTGGCTGTAAATACAGATGAAGCTTTGCCCACCCTTCCACTGCTCACCTCCTGCTGTACAGCTTAGTTCTTAACAGGACATAAACCAGCACCGGTACCTGTCCATGGCCGAGGGGTTGGGGACCCCTGCTCCACAGGCTGGAGTGTGCTGGGAATATAGGGTCCAGGGTAAATGCCAGGAACTGTTCAATGCAGTAGGCACACTAACAGTAGTTTTGATGTAAATTTCTTCCAGAGAAACAATGGGGGAGACTGTATCTTCTAACCCCTTTGGAAGGTTATGGGTTTTAGTAGAAGTTAGCTAGCAAGAATAAAATTATGAACCTTTTCTGCCTTAGAATTCTCTTTCTCAGGTTTCCCAAAGTCACCTAGCAGATATTTGGTACTCAGTTAGTGGCAACTAATAATGTTACTTTTTTGTTGATCCTGTACCAAAAAAGCAGCCCAAGCCCTAATCTGGGATCATGTGGGGGAAAAAAAAATCATCTAACAACTGATAAATTTATTAATGGCTCTCTTACTAAGGTGTCAGAAAAGCACAAGCAACAACAGAAAAAAATAAACTGAACTTCATCAGAATTTAAAACTTTTGTGTATCAAAGGACATTATCAAGAAAGTAAATGACAACCTCCTTCATGGTAGGAGAAAATATTTGCAAACAATATATCTAATAAAGATCTACTATTCAGAACATATAAAGATACCTTACAATTCATGAACAAAAAGATAAATTTTTAAATGGGCAAAAGGCTTGAATAGACATTTCGCCAAAGAAGATATGCAAATGACTAATAAGAACATGGAAAATGTCCAACATCACTAGCCACCAGGGAAATGCAAATCGAGCCTCAATGAGATACTACTTCACATGTACTAGGATAGCTATAATCAAAGAAACAGAAAATAAATGTTAAGGGTGGAAAAATTGAAACCCTCATACATAACTGGCAGGAATGAAAACAGTACAGCTGCTGTGGAAAATAATTTGGCAGTTCCTCAAAAACTTAAACGTAGAATTACCATATAATCCAGGAATTCCACTCCTAGGTGTATACCAAAAAAAAAACTGAAAGGACTCAAAGAGATACTTACATACCAATGTTCATTTCAGCTTTATACACAATGGAAAAAGGTACAAACAATGCAAGGGTCTATCAACAGATAAATGGATATGCGAAATGTTATATATATGTATATATACATATTTATGGATACCTTACATACATATATACATACACATACACAAAGGAATATTTTCAGTCATCAAAAGGAATAATGTTGTGATACATAATACAATATGGATAAACCTTGAAGATATGCTAAGTGAAATAAGCCAGACAGAAAAGGTCAAATATTGCACAATTCCGCTTACATGGAATATCTAGAATAGGCAAATCTGTACCAACAGAAAGTAGATTGGAGTTTCTCAAGGGCCAGGTGAAGGGGGAATAAAGATTTATTGCTTAATGGTTACAGAGTTTTTTGTTTGGAGTAGTGCAAGTTTTGGAAAGAGACAGCAGTGATGGTTGCACAACACTGTGAATTTAGTATCAATGACCTGTACACTTAAGAATGGGTTAATGGGCCGGGCTCGGTGGCTCAGCCTGTAATCCCAGCACTTTGGGAGGCCGAGATGAGTGGATTGCCTGAGCCCACGAGTTCGAGAACTGCCTGGGCAACTTGGCAAGACCTCATCTCTACAATAAATCAAAAAATGAGCCGGGCGTGGTAGAGCGCCTGTAGTTCCAGCTACTCGGAAGGCTGAGGCAGAAGGATCGCCAGAGCCCAGCGGGTAGAGGCTGCGGTGGCCGGGAGCGGCCACTGCACTCCAGTCTGGGCGACAGAGTGAGACTCCAACTCAAAAAAAAAAAAAAAAAATGGGTTAATGACAAATTTTATGTTATAGATATTTTACAATTTTTTTAGAAATGAAAAAAATATCAGAAAGAAGTAATAAGGTAATAGTGGTGGGTGGGAGTAGAGAGGGATCAGAAAATCCTTACCAAAAAATATAAGTGTAATATAAAGTGAGAGCAAATAGAGGAAATGGTGTCACAGAAGAAGATTTTCCAGGCAGTGCATCTCTGGTATCTTCATCATGAATACCTAAGTATTATAGTTGAGTGGGAACGTACAAGGAAAAAATGTACCAAAAAAATCCTTTGGCAAGAAGTATTCAGGGATGAAATATCATGATATATACATCTTTTTTTTTCCAAATGGCACCAAAAAGAGACAAGCACAGATATTTGTATAGAGAGAGAAAGATAAAGCAGATGTAGGAAAACATGACAGCAAACAGTGAGTCTAGATGAAGGTATATGATATTTACCATACAACTTTTCCATACAGTTGAAAATTTTCAACATAAAAGACTGGGGAGATGAAACATTTATATATTAAGATCTTTTCATCAAAATTGCAATAGTATTTGGTAAATCAGAGAGAATTACAAATTTTCAAAAATCCTTCAGCAATAAAACTAAATGATAAATACTGGATCTCTTTTCCCTGGCAATCACCCCCTTTATAATAGTTGAAGAAGCAGAAATGTAGGCCAGAGAAGGCTAGATGGAATGGGGGACACACCATCAACACATTAACAAAATGAAGCTGAAGCCCTAGTAGGTTAGACACCAAGTTGAGGTGGACATGATTTATAAGGGTGTAGTCAAATCATTTCATACAGTCATGGTTAGGAATTCACAATTAAAGAAAAAGTTGAGATGAATGAGAAACAATTATATGATAACTTTAACGATGTTATAAATTATTCCTAAATATAGAACACATTTTAAATTTTATAAAATCAATTATTTTAATAAAATATCACAAAAGAAGAAACTAAGATATTATAACTACCTTGCTCCATGATATAAAATCACTTAGTTGAAAAACTAGAACAGGGTAATCTCTTTGGGTCCTCTCTTACTGTGGAAGCTTTCCTGTCCTCTTAATAAATCCAGCTTTTTCAACTTAAAAAAAGAAAAAGAACAAAACTATTGTTTCCTAAACTTAGAGTTCTTTCAAATACACTAAATGCCCCCTTTTCTCTATATTCACAATACAATTTTATGTTTACATGTCACAGGACTACATATTTATGGAGATTACATGCTTGTATTATGTGGGAGTTCATACTACTTACTCATGAAGCCCTTACTGAAGGTGCTAGCAAAAAGAACCCCTTCCCTGCCATGGGTCCTGTTCAGAACCCCTAAAAGCAACTTGAAAATGTAGATCATATCACATTAATCCTTTTACTTTTGGCTCACCCAGCTTGGTACTTCATCACTAGAACTAGACACTCAAATGTTTGAAATGAACATCTGCTGAACGCTAATGTACGAGTTTGGTAGGCAGTATCCTTGTTGAGATTGATGTGATGGATCAGATTTAGGAAATAAAACCCTTTACGAATACTCTATTTTTGCTTAAGTTTCTTTGCTGGGAGAAGAAATAAAAAAGTTTGAGAAAAAATAAAAGTAGATCATCACAAAGGCACATAAGAACATAGATACTATCAAAACCTGACCTAGTTTGATTACTCTATAGTATGCAAAAATCAAAAGAAGGGTATAATGTTACTAAATATGCTAAGATATTAGATATAAAAAAGATTCTAAAGCCGGGTTCGGTGGCTCAGCCTGTAATCCCATGCCTTTGGGAGGCTGAGGTGAGTGGACTGCCTGAGCCCGCGGGTTTGAGACCCGCCTGGGCAGCGAG